CCCCCCCCCCCCCCCCGCCAACTCAACTTGTTAATGGAGCAGGTTTCCTAGTCGATGTGGGGAGGGGGCTTAAATCTTGAGGCCCGAACTGAAAGCAAACCTCTTCTTTATTTATAGCTCCCTCTTCTCCTCCTTTTGTGTCTGCCCTGTTTTTGGCAGTGCCGTGCCTATCACTGTGTAGGCCGAGTAGGTGTTTGTTGAATGAATGGCCGAACGACTCCACCCTTGATGGGCAGATGAAACAGAATCCTCCTTTTTTTCCCTCCTTACTTAGCACTTGTCCTCAACTCTAGGACCTTCCCCCTGAAGATGGTTGTTGGGGATGCTGTCCTAGATTTGGGATTCCCCCACGTCCAACCCCCAACCTTATCCTGCAGCCTGTAAGTTCCTATTTAGAACCTATCTATGATGATGCATTTGCCACACAGAAGTCCCTCTTGCATAGAAAACTCCTAGAAGCTGTCAGGGTTCAGGGTTCCAGTGCCTTCAGTGAGCACCTGCTTGGGGAGGAAGAGAGGACCAGGTGATGTTTGATGGTGTCACCCCAAGTGCCCAGGAGCCGGGGTTCTCAGCTGTCTCTGGTCTCGCCCAGGTCCCTGGAACTGCTCAGGCTGGTGTAGCATCCTTCCCCGTGGCCCCTGCCCCTGCCCCAGTTCTGTGTTCACCTCAACCCTGGGAGAGCAATTGTTGAAACTGTCCTACTGACTGATGACCCACAGCAGCACCTCTCCACTCTGTGTGATTTTAAAAGTCATCCATGTTCTTTATCTTTCTTTTATAGAGAACTATAAAAAAAAAAAAAAAAAGCAAAAAAAACAGGGAAAAAAATTCAATTCCCATGGTAATGCTGGTGAATTGTACATATTTCCTCACTGGTGAGATGCTTCAATATATACAACTTTGTTTTCTGCTGTTTTCCCCTCTTGATTTGAATGCTTCTCCCGTGTGATGACGGCGTGTTCTGCTGCGGGTCTTGAATCATAATTGGCTTGACAATTCCCCTATTGTTGGACACTAAGGTATTTCCAAACTTTTACCAAACTGTTTCCCTTAGAAGTAATGCATCGATGAGCATCTTTTTTACATAAGGATTTGCTCATATTTTGGATTATTTCCTTTGGAAAGTTCCCAGAAATTGCTACCTTTGCATTAAGTCAGACTCATGTCTAAAGCCATAGGAATACCTCTATGGATAGATATTTTTGAGATGGGCTTGGTGGAAAAGGGCACCATTTATCCATCAAATAATACCATGTTTTGGAGTGGGGGCACAGGGTAGATATCTGCTGAGTGACTGCAGTGTTTTGTTTTTCTTTGCGTCAAATAGTTGGTCAGCATTGGTATGGAAGTAACTTAACGTTTGCCTTCAGGACTGTGAAGTAAATTGTTTTAGCAAGACCGTACATTACAATTTGTTAGGAAGCTAGGTTAAAAATGCTGTCCTTTCTTAAAAATTAACTTTTGAGGGCTGGCCGGTGGCACACTGGAGAGTGCGCCGCTTGGGAGTGTGGCGGCGCTCCCGCCGAGGGTTCGGATCACACATACAGACCGGTTCCTGCTCACTGGCTGAGCGCGGTGCAGGTGCAACACCGAGGGTTGCGATTCCGTTGCCGGTCCCCGGTATGGGCGTGACACTGAGGGTTGCGATCCCATTACCGGTCAGTAAAAAAAAAGACAAAAAGGAAAAGAAAAAAAATTAACTTTTGATTTTGATATAAATCTAGATTTACAGGAAAATTACAAGAACAGCACCTAGAGTTCCCCTGTACCATTTACCCAGCTCTTCCCAATGTTAGCACTGGACATATTCATGGTGCAATGATCAGACCTAGGACATTAACACTGACATGATAGTTTTAACTCATCTATGGTCCTTATCCAGGTTTCCCCAATTGTCCCATTAATGTCCTTTTTGTGGTTCGGGTTCCAATCGCAGATCCTACAATGCTGTCTTGTAAAGAGGTGGGAGCTGAGAAGGGTATAGCAGGTAGTCTTTGTTGTGGAGGAGGTTTGACGTTAAGAAGTCATTTCTATCTTCCTCCCCTGGTTAACTTGTTCCTCTCCTATTGATGGCAGCAGAGTCATATCAGACCCCTAGGGCTTAGTAGCAAAAGCATTTCTGTGTACCTTCCTCTTTTCCCCAAGCCTCCACTGGGAACATGTCATTGAGTAAAAATGGGGCTAATACCCAATCTGTCCTGACACGTCTCCTGGGGGATAGAGGGTTGACATCCGGTGTGCGTGAGAGCGAGCTGCTAAGCGACTGAATGCGCCCTTGACAAGTACACTGTGCAATGCCTGCGCGAGTGACTCAGGCCGGCAGGAGCAGCAGGTGTGTCGGGGTACTAAGTGTGCAAACCCAGCAGATGGAGCATTTCCTGATTATCCGGGCAGATTTAAAGGAACATGAGTTTCCGCTCTTACTGGAGAATGGATGTAGGGTATTGCCAAGCACTCTTGGACTAGGAAATGATTCCCCTTTTCTTTAGAGAACTTATTTCTCCCAAGACAGGTGGGGGATTTGGGGTGAAGAGAGCCAGATTGAAGGGGTTTTGGAAGTGACTGCTGTGGATGGAGGGTGGCCCAGGGGCTTTGCATGACAGGACACTTATGGGAAGTTGAGGAATCCCAAGAAAGAGGCCTTTCTCCTGCCCCTATAACAAAGAGACCGCATGAGTCTGAACCTTAGACCAGTAATACACCTGCGAATTAGGACTGTCTGCTTCGAGTATGGCTCTGTCTTTTCCAATTTGGAGTGGCTGTCTGCATTGATGTAGGTGATATTTGTTTGGGATCAGGAAGTTTTGAGGTTACTTAAATCTCAGCAAAACAGGCTTCTGTTGCCCAGATAGAGTTTCTCTGTTAATTGTTAGGGTATGGTTGCCTAGACTTGATTTTTCTTTTCCTCTTTGAAATACTCCCAACCTTTCTACGATGGCTTTATAGCTTGTAAACTGAAAAGTATTCACTTTGCTCTCTCTCCCCTCGTGCCCTGGCACAGATGTTTTCTGTAAACAGCCAACTCCAGTGAGGATCATAACAGGAAGTCTTGGGGGAGAGGGCTTGGGGATGTTGTGACTAAACAGTTCTGGATCGGCACTTCTGTCTACACATGCCTGTCCCTCTCCTTGGTGACTCCTCGTGGGCCCTCCCTTCTCAGAGGTTGCAGCTCTTCCCAGATCGACGTAGGCCCAGTTCCGACTTTTCACTTTTGGACTGCTCCACCTGACCCCTGGTTTTCAAGTTGTGGTTTGTGTGAGAATGAATTGCTTGGAGAACTTATTAGAAATGAATATTCTCAGGATCTGCTCCTCTTTCCCCCGCTCCCTCCATCCCCGCCAACACCTTTAGAGGTTCTGTTTTGATATGTCTAGGGCTGGGAAGGGTGC